AAAAAAAAGGCAATCGGACAAAGAAAGTAGCAAAACCGATCGATTGCACTTTGTATTTAGACATCTTTTCGCAGACCCAGGTAACATATCTTTCACTAGTAGAATGCAAGCTCAATTTGGGCATTTAGACAGGGGAAAAAAACCCCAATTTATAGCTGATATAACAAAGTTGAAGTGTGTTGAGTTTGTGCATGGAGTGTCAGTCTGGTATGACCAAAATCACATTGTCATTATTTAGATCTATATTTTTCTATTCATCAAACTATATTCGTCATTCTCTGGAATCGAAAGAAACTCAGATTTTCATTCTAATAGGTGCAGTTTATAGCATAACACAATTGACATTTCGTGCTAACCGGAGCCATGCTTGTCTGCGATCAACGAAAATGCCTTGAACAATGGACGCAGTTTGTTTTGTTTACCGCGCGTTTCTCCACGATCAGCTGGTGACCCAGATACGCGCATCCGGGCGAAGTGTCATCTCTCTAGTATTACTGTAAACTCTCTGGTAAGGCGTAATAGCTCATTAATTTCAGTTGGTTCTAAGGGAGACAATTTCTATTATCTTTTTCTTGAGCAAAATGTAATATTACACTTTTGTGAGGTTAACAAATATTTTTGACATAATGATGAACGAACACTGCCTGTGTTGATGATAACTGATTTCACTTTTTTTTTTTTCTAGCTTAGATTATCAGTAATAACAGATACAGTGGAATCCTGATAAAGTCAACTTGCTTAAAGTCAACTCTTGCTTACTGTCAACACCTCACTGTAGTCCCGTTTCTTACCTTCTTTGTTAAAGTAATTGTGTTTCTGATACATGCACAGTCAACTGCATGAGTGTTAACCTTGCGTAAAGTCAACAATTTGGGGCTAAATCCGCAGATGAATTCATTCAAGAAGAGATATTTCGCCAGAGCAAGTGGTGTACACATCTTCAATTATATATATTATGTACTTTGTTCTTTCATTATCTCTTGTTTTGGTGACAACTATAGAATTATACTCCCTGAAACTGAGATTACATCTTGTTTATTAACAGGTACTTTGTAATTTTCTAGCTGTCATCTTCAATTTTCAATGGCCAGTACATGTAGTAAATGTACAATGGATAAAGTCAACCTTGCTCAAAGTCAACACTTCTTTTCTGTCCGGGGTGTTGACTTTATCAGAATTCCACTGTAACTTTTTTTTTTTTTTTTTTTTTAAATTAAAGCGCTTTTGTCATAGACATGAGTCTCAATTTTTTCCTTTTTATTAGTAAGAAAGAGTGTGTATGCAATATTCTCCTTGAAAGATTTACTCTAATTGTGAGGCAGCGTGGTGAAATCAGGCGCTCGTCAAAATAATGAAAGTGAAAAAAAACTGGCATTTTTCCGCGGGTTTGGGAATTTTTGTTGATTTTTTTTTTCGCCCTAAACACATTTTACGTCCATATTTAAAAAAAACCTTCATTACATTCACAAAATTTGTGATTTTTCAGTTTTAAAGGCTCTCAAGCTATTGAAGTTATCAAACTTTGGCGGCCGT